TGTTCCAGAGAGTGGACTTTGCCACGAATGAGCTGTACCTTGCCTTTGCTCGCTCTGATTTATCGCTGAGCAGATAATGTTGATGCCTGTGAAGTACAGCCACCAGAGCAGTGGCGTCGCTCCCGGCACGGGCTGCGGGCCGTGAGAGCTCAGACGTCATGTCTCCTGGATTTTCCTTGGCTCTTCTTTCCAATGTTTCAGAGCCTAGGACCATGGCTTCCTGCATAGGGTAAGCTGAAGAGTGAGTTTTATTTTAAATTTAACGCAAGAACATTTTGGTAGAATGTGCTAGACTCAGTTCCTAAAGGTACCAAACAGACATAGGCAAGGAAAGCTTTGTTTCAGTAAAAGTAGCAGTTGAACAGTTTAACCAGGTTACCTTACTAAGAAAGTTAAAAAATTTTTTATCTAGACTTTTTCTATTCAGAATCTAACTGTAGATATGAAGGTGTCAAAGTAGTTTTTCTTAGAATGGATAATTATTGTTATTCGGGTTGTGGCCTGCTGGGTTTGTAGTTCCAGAAGGTGTTCAGTTTCATACCTTTTTAGGATTTAACAGACAGCAGAGGCTGTTTAATGAAGAACCAAGTGATCATTAATACTGAAAAATGATTTAGGTGACAGGTGATATGCCATTATATACTGGTATGGTGTATTAGTCATTGTTTTTTTTTGTTTGTTTTTTGGAAAATTGATACAGATTTCAATCTAACATTAGTCTGTGACTTATTAAATCCTTTGGTTCAGCTTATTTGGGTTTGTATGATAGGATCCAGCTTTTCTACAGCTGACCTGGGATATGAATTCATAAATTGTGAATATTTGTCATTTGCATGCCCTCCTGACTGTCATCATGAAAGAGAACCATACTTGAATTCAGTTACCTGGGAAACATTATCTTTGTGTGTTAAATTGTAAACCGGCTTTCTCTGGTCCTGTTGCGTCTGGTCTTGAGGTGTCAGCTTCCTGAGTGATTGACCAACCCTACTTGTTATCATTTGTCCATCTGCTCCGCTTGTCTTTCAGTCCATTCTGCCAGTAGATGGCCGAGTTGGGTTTTCGTTCCACCAAATTTTTTTATGCCTTTTGTCAGCCGTGGGTCTGTGTTAATTAACACTTCAGATCTTAATTCCTTGTAATTGAATAAAACTGCAATGATTACCTCATAACTTTGTGTTACATTGGATCTGCAGTTTTTTAGGAACAATCAGTCTTACCCACACACCGGTAGGCCTTCAAAATCTCCTCTTTCTGGAGTACCAGAGTAGACTACCAGAAACGGATGAATGGTTTTCTCTACACTAAGCCATTTGTCACTTTGTGTGATGTTAGCCAAAAAATCCTCCAGTCACCTTCTTGAGTAACAGCTTTGTTTTTCTTTTTTATCTTTTATAAGGACATTATTTGCCTTAAAATGCACACACCGCAAAGCCTAGATTACCGAATCAAACATGAATGTTTTGAGAAATTCTTAGAGCTTCAGGCAGACTTGCAGTAACAACCAGTGTAAAAGAGCGTATGCTACACGGTAACCAGGGTAATTCAATTTGGGCACAAACTCCTGTATTCCCTGGCAACAGTCATGCAGCCTCATTGCTTATATATCAGGGATTATGCTGGATGTAATTTAGTGAGGTCGTTAAATGAAGCGGGGAGGTTTGTTAGGCATCCAGCCTACAGAGACAGAGCATTATTGAAGTCACTCTGCACCACTGACGGCCAGGGAATCCCGGGTAAAACCCGGAGCTGGCTGGGATGTACCCGAGAGGGGTACCACGCATGGAGCTTAGGACGGGAACAGCCGAGCTGGTCAAGGTAGCATTCTGCCTGCACCAGCGTACGGCCTGATCTGGGCCTGGCCGACGCATCCCGCAGGGCTCGGCTCTGTGGGAACAGTGCGTGACGAACGAGATCATCCGGCACAGAACGTTTTGTCTGATTCTCATAAGGACTCGGCAGCTTAATCAGAAGCTGAGACGGAGAAAATAGGACACTCCAAGATGGATTTTTAGCCTAAGCCTGGTAATGTCGCGATCCCTCTGGAAGAGAAACGCAAAAGCTTCACTTTTCTCCGTACGATGGGGTGAGGTGTGTCGCCCGTGAACGTAGGAAGTCAGGAACCTGGCAGACCGGGAGGTATTGATGGTTGGGGGTATGAGGAGATGGATGTTTTGGGGTCCAGAGGACAGCTGGCTGATTGATAAACGCGGGGAATGTAAGAGCACTGACTGTGAGCGTGAAGGGTAGTTTGTTGAGGGTTGGTCACGTGATGGGGGTGAAGAGGCGGCCCCACAAACTCCCCAGGGGGTGGGTGTCACCAAGGACAGCAGCACAGACACGCAGGTGGGGGTGGGGTCTCAGCCTTCATTAGCAGGTGACGTCCCTGATGGAAAGCAGCCAGAATTAAACCGTATAATAGTCTAGATGGACAGACGGGAAGGGATTCCGGCAGTTGGAGAAGGGGCAGGACTTTCGGAAATGTGTTTGTGGTGGGAAGGGTCTGGAGGGGAACGCAGGTGGGGGTGGCCAGGCACTGTGGGGTGGGGGTGGGGGCGTTCGGGGACGTGTTTGACCCGAGTTGCCTGACAAAGGGACCTCGTCCTGAAGCTGAAAATGGGCAGTAATTTAAAAGTAAAACAGATGGGGTAGCTCTGGGCTGTGTCCAGATCTTAAGACGTCTTAAGACGTTCATCATACTGAATTCTCTCTCTCTCTGAAGTTACGACACAGCACTACGAAAGTTTTGGGAAACTCCGTCCTGGACTAGCACTGCTGAGATGAGTATGAGTATGGAATTCTCACACTGAGAAGTGAAACCGATCATTTGGGGCTCGCTGACATTCACTCAGGGATTTGGGCCTTAGTGCCCCAGGCTGCTGGCGTGTCTGGACGAGCTTCGCTGTTTGTCAGATATAAACTCTTCAGTAGAATCCAAGAATTAGTAGCTGCTTACCTTTAGATGGTTTCTGAACGTGGAGTTTTACTATCATGAGTACATAAGTCACAGGGGTGGCTGTGTGTCACCGGTCACTGCCTGGCTTGGCAAAATAAAACCAGCGTACAGAAACGTCCGGTGGCCCATGGCTGATTGGTGGCACACCGTCATTCGAGTGTCCCACCTCTCCCAGCAGCCCTTTGGCATCTGTGGGCCTCAGTAACGGAGGCTAACGCGCTCAATGCACAGTGGGTTAGCGTCAGTGTAAACATGCGAGTTTTTCTCTCTTTCTTATTTTTCCACATAGTTGTGAATGAAACGGTGTTTTGCCCCCCAACGCTTAGTGACCGTGTCTGTGTTGTTAGCAACATGAACCGTGAAGACCGGAATGTGCTCCGTATGAAAGAGAGAGAGAGACGTAATCAGGAGATCCGGCAGGGTGCGGAGGCCGTCCCAGGGAGCTGCCACCTCTTCCCTGAGCCCTACAAAGTTGTAAGTTTCTCTCTTTTTAAATTCCTATCTGTGCGTTTCCCGTCAATTGTCGAGTCGTGGACTAACACTGTGGTGTCCCTATGTGAGGTCTGTGTGCGGTGCTGGTGTACATACTGTACGCATCACATGCTACAGTCAGAGGAATGTAAAGGCAAGGCAAAGCTATGATCGCTATGCGGAAATGGGGCTCCTGGAATGATTTTGTGTGTCAGCTCTGGCGGCCAGGTCTGAGTCAGCCGATATTCTCTGCATTCTCTTCACGGTTTCCATTTCCTGTGTTCCAGATTACTTGGGCAGGATTTATAGCCTGACGTAGAATCGCGTACCGGCTTGACATCCCCCTGTATACAGCGAGACTTCCGGGTGCCCTTAGTCCAATTATAGTCGGCCCACTTATGGGCAAGTGTTTAAACTTTCACTGGTCGAGACATAAATTGAGAGGCTATTTTGGTCATGGTGTTTCCTGCCAGCTGGCCTTGTGCAGAGGTAAGTAGATGCTTGAGGGCAGGAGTTACAGCGGAGACCCCCCCCCCCCCCCATGGGCAAGTAGGGCAGTGATTGTGATCAGAGACGTGGCCAGATTGCCCTTTATCACAGATTTCCAATGAAGTCTGTGTTTCTGTTGTCAAGGCTTTACAGTTATTTCAGTGTTTTTGTTATTACTTGACAGTGTAAAACTTGGATACAGCATAACCCAGTAAAATGGCAGCATGCCGACAAGTGTGGCCAGGAAAGGGGCTAACAGGGTCCCGGTAGAGCATCGATGTCTCCTGGAGTGTGTTTCCTTGCTCAGTGCAGCTAAAACGCTGCCCGCGTTGGAAAGTCCACGTGATGATGCTACTGACCCCTTCTGTAAACACGCGTCCCCGTGTGAAGGTGGCTGTGGGAAGCTGGACATCCCTTTTAACGTCTGGGTCCTATCGTTCCGTTCCCAGTGGTTCCTTTGGCTTTCCTGCTCTTATCTGTCTGCAGGGCCCCTTGCAGGCCGAGCGGCAATACGGGGAGCTTGCGCGCTGCATGCCGCTCTAGCTGTAACAGAGCTTTGGTCTCTCTGCAGTCTAGCAAGGAGGATAAGCTGTCCAGCCGCATCCAGAGCATGCTGGGTAATTACGACGAGATGAAGGACGTGATCGGAGAGAATACGCCCAAGCTCGTCGGCCCCAAAGCCACCGGCTCCGTGTCCCTGGAGGACCGGCCGCAGTTTCCGGAGCGTGTGGCCGGGAAATGGACCCCAGTGGCCTCAGGAAGCAGCTCGTCCTCCCAGGGCCCGAAGAGGTCTGGCCCGTCAAGCAAAGAGGGCAGCGCCCAGCGGGCCGTGGGGAACCAGAGGCACGAGCGTGACTACAGCGGCGGGAAGAAGGCGAGCAAGCACACGGCAGAGCACGGCAAGGCCCATGGGCCGAGCCCGGCCAAGGGCCCTCTGAGGCCGCATGTGGCCGAGCACCACAGCAAATCCCCACGGGAGCGCGAGCTCAGCTGGGACTCGCCCTCCCGCATACAGCATGCCTCCTTCCCCAGCGGGCAGCCCGCCGGCCAGGCCTTCCCGCCGTCACTCATGTCCAAGCCAGGCCCTGTACAGCAGAAGCCCACGGCCTACGTGCGGCCCATGGATGGCCAGGAGAGCTTGGAGCCCAAGGGCGCCTTGGAGAGCTACGGCGGCCAGTCGCACGGCAGCGGCGTGGCCGAGATGAAGGCCAGCGGCAAGAGCTCCCTGTCCAAGCTTAAGATCCCCTCGCAGCTGCTGGAGGTGGGCGCTCTATCACTGATCTTATAAACCATTTTAGTAAAATTAGTTATTGCTGTTAGTATGCAGTGATGCAGTTTGCATTTTCTCTATGAAAAATGTCAAAGTTCATTTGTTGCGATTTACTTTTCAGGCCTCTATGTCAGGGGATGCCAACTGTGTGGATGACATCTTAAAGGTAAGACTATCCGGAAGCATCCGCTTGGGTTTGGTCTACATACGACAGACCATAAGCAGTGAGAGAGAGGAGCAGGCTTCCTTCATTGTTTCACAGTGGGGTCACTCACCCTCTGTCTGTCTAAACACATCCAATCTGATTTCTCCCCTGTAGGAAATGACTCAGTCTCTGCCCTCGCCTCTGACTGCGATTCAAACCCCCTGCAAGCCAGAATCCTCAAAGTTTCCATTTCCTGCCAAGGTCAGGCTCAGACGGTGTAATTTGTGTTTTGGCTGGGCTGGGGGGGGGGGGGGGGGGGGGGGGGGGGGGGGGCTGTGCTGTGTGTTAACCTAACAGGCGATTTCACTTCATACTTACTTGCTTTACCTTTCATCAGGTGAGTTCAGGAGGTCAGTGACTAGATTAACAGCAGGACAGTCTGATTACTTTAGTGTCTCTTTTAGCATACAGAAGATGGAGTCGTAGGGTGAAAAGTGACCGTGAATGTGTGTTTCCTCCTGCAGGGGGCTCAGCTCTCCAGCTTTCCCGGAGGGGGACAGAGTAAGTTTGCGCTCGCATGTTTACACGTTGCTGTTTGAAGGTTAAGTGACAGTGAAAAGCCAAGTGATCCTGTGATCTCCCCGCGCCTCCTGTTCGGCTGTCAGCATTCTCACACTCGGCTTTATTTTCAAACCTCTGCAGAGCGACATGGTTCGGGTTCGAGGTCGGCCTCACATCAGCCTAAAGGTGGCGACGGCGGCACCTCGACCAAGTAAGAGGAGTGACGTGCGAGGGGCCGTCATGGGGGGCGTGGCAGGGGTCTAGTCAGCTTACAGATGATGCTTTTTTTTAAATCAGTACACTAATAAGCGACCTGGAGCTGAGTAGCAGTGAGGAGAGCGACGAGGAGCAAGACCCCAAGGCGGCAGCCAGAAACGAGTCCACGAGGTGCCTTCAGGACGCAGCATGTTCATTCACACCATTCGGGGAGGTGGGGGATTGAGGGCCATTAACGCAGACTCCTCCCCTTCTCCTCCCACGTTACCCCAGCAACCACAGTGAGGGGGCGGACCTGTCCAGGGGCGAGGAATCCAGTAGCCCCAGTGAATCGGAGAGCAGCTCTGGCTCGGACAGCGAGAGCGAGAGCAGCTCCAGTGACAGCGAGGCCAACGAGCGCCCCCATGTGCCCACGCCAGAGGTGGGCTTGCCTTGCCGCTCCCCTATCCACCCTCCCTTGTCTTATTCTCCTCCCATTCTCATTTCTCTCCTGTTCTTCCTTTTAGCCTGAACCTCCCACCACCAATAAATGGCAGCTGGATAATTGGCTTCACAAAGTCAACAAGTTCTCGCCAGCCTCTCCGGCAGACGGCAACGTGCCCACCAAGTACAAGAAGGACCCCCGAGACCCAGGTTCGGGGCGGGGCTATGGTGGCCAGGGCGGATCCAAGGACTCGGGCGCATTGGCGCCGAACAGGGACCTGCGGGTGGTGCAGAAGGGCTCAGAGGGTGGCCGGGGAAGACAGCGGTCGCCTGCACAGAGCGAGGGCTGCCCGGTGCAGCGCAGGACCGTGGGGAAGAAGCAGCCCAAGAAGAATGAGAAGGCGCCCGTGGTGGAGGAGCCCAAGGGCGGCCTGAAGGTGGAGAGCGAGACGCCTCCGGAGATCCAGCTGCATCGGCCCAAAGCCGCCACCAAGGGCTCTCGCAAGCCCAGCATCAAGAAGGAGGCGCGGTCCGTGACCCGCCCGGCTGCCGAGAAGCGGAAGGGCAAAGGCCCGACCAAGCTCAACAAGTCCCGGGAGTTTGTGGAAACGGACACCTCATCTGATTCCGAGGAGAACGAGAGCCTGCCGTCATCATCCCAGACCCCGAAGTACACAGAGAGCATCCGCACCCCGGTCTGCATTCCCTCTCCTGTGGAGAAGGAGGTGCTGTCCCCGCTCAGTGACTCCGACGAGCCCTACCCCATCCGGCAGGAGCTGCTGGTCCGAATTGACCTCAGCCTGTTGTCCAGGATCCCGGGCCGACTGCACCGTGAGCCGGAGCCGCCCAAAGTAGAGCGCGATACCACCGCCAGCGAAAGGGACGGCAAGGAGTCCCAGAAGCAGCCGGGCGAGAAATCTTCCGGGAAAGGCAAAAGGAAGCGGAAGGTGGGAACTGACTGTGACGCCGCATCGCTGGGGCTCCTCAGGGGTCCCAGGCTCATCTGTCTTTTTGTGTCCCACCCAGAATGAGGACGATGCCGTAAAGGGTGACAAGAGGCCCAAGCTGGATGACAAGAGTTCATCACATCACAAAGCCGCCGGCAAAGAGTGAGCGGCCAGCTTCTGCGCCTCACTGCACCTCCCCTGTGTCTCCCCTCATCTCCCTTGCATCTCCCCGCACCGCCCGGCTTCACCTCAGCCTCTCCCTCTGATTGTAGGTCTTCCAAGAAGGCTGCAGACAGGAAGGAGGAGCCGGCGCCTTCACCCTCCATCCCTGGGCTGCAGAAGATGCCACGGGCAGAGCCAACGAGCCGCAAGCGCACTGCCAGCCAGTCCTCGGCGCCCGTCTCTGGTGGCAACAAGGAGGGCAGCCGCAGTGGCAAGGGGGGCAGCTCGACCTCCAAGCACAGGAAGGGCGAGGACCGGCAGGCCGGGACGGCCAAGGAACCGAAGGTGGGTCCCCGCTGGGGGAGACCTCCTTTGCCGCCGGGTTCTCCGTGTTATCATTTGGTTCCAGCATGCACCCGGATCTCTCTGGTTTATTCGTTTGGATCTGCGTCCTGTAAGCGGGTCTCATTTCGCCCTCTTCACCAGAGATGACTTTAATCCTGTAGTACGTCACTGCACCACGTGCGAAACGGACGACCCACCTGAAGTGGGGTGTGAATAAGAAGGAAAGCGACTGATGCTTCTCTTCTTTCTCCATAGGAGAAGACCTCCAAGGTCTCTGATGGCCAGCCTGCTGCTCTGCTGTCCTCAGAAGGTTCAAAGTCCCGAAGATCAAAACTCACGTTTGAGGACCGGTAAGCGACGGCATTCTCGCTGTGTATGGCTGCCAGATCTGTCTTAGCCCATACCCAGGGATGGGTGCTGACTTTCGGGTGATTGCTGAAATGCATTTCCGGAACTTTCTTCCACCTTTGAACTCACTCTGTTACAGACTGCACTCTGCTGACTACTACCTGCAGGAGGCCAAGAAGCTGAAGCACAATGCCGATGCACTGGTACGAGGCGTTCCTATTGGCTGGATTCGGAATAGGGGGCGGGGCTTCTCTAGACTCAGACATGAACATTCCCATGCATTTAATGATTTACAGATTTCTGCCACCATCTGTCACGTTTTCTTAAGGCTTTTACGTAAAGTGACTGGTCCACTGTCCGGAGCATTCCGGGTGGTCTGGATCCTTTTATGTGGCACGGTGCTGGGTGAGCATCAGTTCTGCAGGAGGGGGGGCCCCTCAGGGTTAATGGGTAGCTGTCGCACTCTGCAGATGGACCGCTTCGAGAAGGCCGTGTACTACCTGGATGCCGTGGTCTCCTTCATTGAGTGCGGCAATGCGCTGGAGAGGAGTGCACAGGAGGCCAAGTCTCCGTTCCCCATGTACGCCGAAACCGTGGAGCTCATCAAGTAAGGCCCTGCCCCACTCCTGCCCCCGTGAATCCCGGGTCTGTCGCAGCTGCGTAACAGAGTTGTCATGCTTCCTGTTGCCGTGCTCCAGGTACACAATGAAGCTGAAGAACTACCTGGCCCCTGACGCCACATCTGCTGACAAGAGGCTGGCTGTTCTCTGGTGGGTGGGCTGTCCGGCGCGTTCCGCGGTTCTCATACGCCGCTAAGGGCACTCGGTCCTCTGATTAGACAGTCGTGGTTAGCGACCCCTGCGGTCAGCACTATGAACTCGGTGACTCGGTGAGTCTGAGCTGCACAGGAGCTGAGCCAGGGTGACACTGTCTCCACCTACTCCTTCTCCAGTCTCCGCTGCCAGGCTCTGCTCTACCTGCGGCTCTTTAAGCTGAGGAAGGAGAGTGCCCTCAAGTACTCCAAAACCCTCACCGAGCACTTGAAGGTAACCCCTGTTCTTTGGCTCACGGTAGATCTACTCTTCATGGTCCCTCATGGCGGGTGGTCTAACATCAGTGCATTTCTCTCTCGCTCTCTCTCTCTCTGCAGAACTCCTTAAGCAATACTCAGGCTCCTTCCCCTGGAATGGGAAGGTAGGTGGTCCATTGCACACTGTAGGAATTGAACCCTAGTGAACTCTAGGTGTGTAACGGAGGAGGCCCCTGTAGTGAGCCCCCGTCATAGGTCAGTATCGGAGGAGGCCCCTGTAGTGAGCCCCCGTCATAGGTCAGTATCGGAGGAGGCCCCTGTAGTGAGCCCCCGTAATAGGTCCGTGTCGGAGGAGGCCCCTGTAGTGAGCCCCCGTAATAGGTCCGTGTCGGAGGAGGCCCCTGTAGTGAGCACCCATGCTAGGTCAGTATGGGCGGGGGTCCTGTGTTAAGCAGCTTGCTTCTCCCTGTTTCAGTAAAGCGGCGGGAATGCCGTCCCCTGTGTCCCCCAAGCTGTCCCCGGGCAGCACGAGCAGCCACTCATCCGGCGCATCCAACAGCAGCGGCTCCTCCTCTGTCACCATCCCTCAGCGCATCCACCAGATGGCGGCCAGCTACGTGCAGGTCACCTCCAACTTCCTGTATGCCACCGAGGTGTGGGACCAAGCTGAGCAGGTGGCGAGGGAACAGAAAGGTACAAGGCGTTCCCATACCCTTGGGACAGCAGTTACTGCCACCTATTGGCTGTAGGGCAGTATTACACTGGGGATGTCGGGAACACTAGACTGGATGTACCGTCAAATATAATTCTTCGAGTCAGGGATCTGTGTATTTCAGTGCAGAGTTTCCAGAGGATCAGAGGACACACACACACACACACACACACACACACACGTGATGATTTCCACACTGATAGGCATGTACAAAGGCCTTTCTGAGGCAGGGGGTGGGAAATCAAGGCAGGGGGTGTCATCAGATAACAAAGGCTACATGACATTAACTGCTGCCCAGATAACCACTCTGATTTACCTAACGGCAGAGGGACATTTAAGACCAGCACATTCCATCATCCGGGGACTGCCATGCCGGCCCGCCACCTGCTGGTGATGAGGAGCATTGCAGGCTGCATGTCTAACCCCGCCCCCCCACCGCCTCCTTGCAGAGTTCTTCACTGAGTTGGACAAGGTGATGTCCCCCTTGATCTTCAACAGCAGCAGCATGACGGAGCTGGTCCGCTACACACGGCAGGGCCTGCACTGGCTGCGGCTGGACAGCAAGCCTGCGGCCCAGCGGCCACAGACCCCGCTATGAGCCCGACGGCGCCCCCGTGTGGCTCTGCAGTGAACTACCGTCTCCTCCAAACTGTACGACAGGTGAAGCCTGCTTCATTTAGGACGGTTTCCCAGGAAACAGTACAGTACCTGCTTGGTTGAGCCTCTGCATCACTCTTGTAGCCAAAGTACCTGGTTTATTTATTTCAGTTTTTTTTAACCAAAGGTGCTTTCACATAGGTTTGTCCTTACCTCCGTTGTCTTTTTGTGCCTTGTGTTTTAAATATAGGCTTGTTATTTGTCCCATACTGCACCACACATAGTATTTGCATCTGGTTAGTAAACACGCCCCCCCCCCCCATAGGAAACTAGTCCTTAGTTCATTGGAAGAGTAATGAGAGCTGTGGTGGTGAATGTGTAACACTGAGAGTGTCACACCGCAGGGTGTCCCTGCGAGACTGAGGGCGGGAAGTGGGGGGTCGAGAGGTGAGGCGTGTGTCTCAAACACATGCTGTGCAGACGGCGCAGTGTGCCGAAGTCCGGGGATGGGCGTTTAGTGCTTTGATGCCCCGCAGTGCTGCTGGCTGCGCATTAGCCGAGTCTTAACATTGTTATTAACGAAGATTTTATGGACCGTTTCATGGTGAAATGATGGGCTATGAGTTCTAAGTGTTTTTCCTCTTCTAAAATCCTGCAATTGAGACCATACCTTGTACAGTATTTCATAAGAAAGAAAAAAAAAAGTCTTGGCGATGTGTGATGTTGCTATCAGAAGCTAAACCTTTAACAGGGGAAAACGTGCACTTGAGTTTTAACTGTTCGCTAGCATCTTAACATTTAGAGTAATGTGAAACCTGCTCGTTTGCCATGGGTTTTAATAATCATGTAACAGGTTTATCATGAAATATTTAGGGCTTAACACAGGGTTGATATGGACAATAAAATGTAAGATTTGGGTTTTAAAATAGTTTCGCAAATTGTCACTGTTTATTTATAATCTGCAATTAGATGATGCAAGACCATCAAATTAAAAACCTTTTTTAAATTTTTTTTTCTAAAGACTGGTACAGTCTTTATATATACCAAACTGAATGGTGTATTTCTTAACCATATGTCATATTGGCTTAACAACATGTAAAAATGTAAATTAAAAATGAGAATGCAGGGATTAAACTGTACGTCAGAGGACGGGGATACAGGATGCGGTTTGGAAGCAGAAGAGGATCCTGCGACCTTTGTGATTCTCTCGGCACGGACAGCGTGGGGCCACCACTGCTTTGCCACATTTTGCACTAAAACTTCACCCGTTTCCTGGTCTTTTGGAAACCACCTTCTCCCAGAGCCTCTGATACAAGTGTAATCTATGCAGCCTTTTTTATTTTCACGTATTTAATAAAACACTGGTTTCAGTACATATTGTCAGGTGTATTTTAAGAGGACGTTGAGAGACTTGCCTGCTGTGTGTAGTAATTGGTGTTTTGCTAACCCCACTTGATGCCAGGAGTAAATTATGGGGTAAATAAATGGGGGGGAAAGGGGCAAAAACCATTAGATTGTAGTAAACATAGAAACCTATTAGAAATATTTACGAAATACGTCCTTCAGTCCTGGGTTACTTAATTTTGATTTAAAGTTTGTAAAAGTGCAAAGCACATCATGCCTCTTTACAACATGTATAAATCAGTATCTTATGATTTTGATTTGTAAACAAATACTATTAAGTCTATTAGTATTGTTGCCTAAATTGCTCCAGGCAAGACGGTGAAGACTGTTACAAATGACCACGTCTTAAGGCTTCTGCTTTTCCCTTTTATGTTGCCGTCTAATCATCACTACACTGAAAGTATTAATGTTACATTAACTGCCAATAGTGTTAGCAGGATGGGAGATCCTAGAAAAAGGTCTGTGGAACTGCTGACACTCAAGCAACATGTCATCCTGATTTCTGAACATTAAAGGGTTCTTATTTTTTACAGGCTGTCAAATAGATCCGTTTTACACAAGGAACAGTGTGAATGCAGTATGTCTATCTGAGGTACTCTTGGGTTCACATTCTATTAAGATGTGCTTGTGAAGTGGGAACTCCAGTGCTGTATATTTTTTGTATTGTATTAAGAATAATATATACTGTAACTGTTTCACATTGTATTTTAATGAAATGTCACAAAATTGTTTACTGACATTTTGTACAGTAAAGATCACCTTTGTATAACTGAGGTTCTGTTTACTGATTTAATTTCATAGTTTGTCTTTCAGTTTATTCCTCTCCGCACTGCAGAAACCACATCTTATGAGCAGCAACACCACTGCAATACCAGTACGAATATAAATAAAAAGGAAAGCGCAGGTTTGCTTTATTTGTGAGAAGGAACATCATCCAAGACAGGCTTCACTCATCATTCTCAAACTGCTTGGGGTCCTTCCTCTTTCCCTGCTCGTGAACTTGGTTACCCCAGGTGTAGGTCAAGTACATTGCCACCATTGCTTAAAAAGAGAGGAGAAAGATTGACTATTAATCCCAAAAAACTCTTGCACACTTACTGCTATTTACTTAGAACAGGTGAAGATGCCCTATTCCAAAGCCCCTACTTTTCAAGATTAACGCTTTTCCATTAACTAATAGGGTGTCAGATGCCTTTGAAGGCCATTGTACCCAAATCCTTATTTATCTGCATGAACATCAATACTTGCTACCCATCTTCAGATATTAAAGGACATTTACTCTTAAGGATCAGGTAGAATCCAGCTCTAGCACTCAAGTGAACTACTTAATCCAACTAACTGCAATAGAACTGTATTCACTAGTATTAATGTGAAAGCAGAGTAAGATGATTCAGGGGTACGATTAAATGACATCACAGATCATTAATAGAAACATCAGTGTTTGGCAACATGGTAAGGAGCAGCACAGAATTTCAGGGCCATATTGGCTGCCCTAACCTTTTACAGCAGAGACCATCATACTTACGGGGCGCAACTCTGAACACAGATGATGTAAATCGCCTCCACACGTTGGGAATTCCCTTGGAAAAGTAGTTTGCAAAGGCCCTTTGCTCAAAGGGGGACAAGCTGTAGGTGATGATGTGCCTGACCCTGGCCAAGTCTCCAAAGTGACGGCCCATTCTGCTATCTGGGGCTAGCAACACATCACAAAACAGGAGCTTATGTGAAACATGGTTAATCTACATCGATTTGATCCAGACGATCATTCTCCCCACCTCCAAAACTTGCATATGAGACCATTAACCACATCTTGTGTTTCGTTTATAAATGAATATACGCAAATTATTTCCTCTAGCGCTAAATTACTTACGTACATTTAAATTCTACCATTCGCTTGTCATCATTATTTATGAGCAGCTAGTTAACTAAAGGTTAAACCCAAACTCAAAGCATATATTAGGTATGCTGCACTGGTATAATAGGTCAGACAAGTATTTAACACGGTACGTTAGGGTTAGATAACATTTAACCAGGACGGCTCCTTAGTGCAAAAAGACCTTGCTTGACATTCATACGGCACACATATCAAACATTAAACCCGAAGCTGAATGAACACAAATTCGATAAAACGCAGATTCAACAGAAAGCGACTGCTCGTCTACCTACACATATCATACACTCAAAAGAAGCAGAAATAAATTAATACATAACATCCACCACCGTACCTGACTTTCTCAGGAACTCTGCTGCAATGGCGTCGAAACGCCTATCTGATCTCTCCTTTAAACTTCCGGGTGATATGTGACGTAATTTCCGCCAGTGCATCTGCGGTGGCGTACGTTTTCGGGGCCTGACGAATTAACTGCAAAAGATTTGTTCATTCCAAGACCTGCCTTCTGTCCTATTTCATGGAAGAGGATCCAGGCTCAACATTGACCCTATAGCAGTTATTGGAAAATGAAATGGAAATGGATGGATGTGCATTTAAGGGAACTGGATGGATGGACTGATAGACTATCTTGACATATATACTGTAGTTATTTCTCAGCCAGGCCCAAATACCCATATACAGCAAAATATGTTTAAGTATTTGAAACATTTGTGCTAAATGAAACAGCTTGAGACTACAAATAACAACATAATGTTTACTTTTTAAGTACTATATATCTACTCAGATGCAACAGCTTAGTTGTAACTAGCCATTTCTGGATAAAGTATATGGCAGACATCTGTATCCTACACTCCAGCAGGTATATGGCTTTTCCAGAAACACCATCCACTTAATCTGAGGACCAAAATGATGTTGATGTTGTCATCAGAGGGTAAACTTGTGTATAACATGAAAGGTGCACTTGACTCATAAGATCCAACAAGGTGAATGGAGTACATTGAGTGAATGCACTCCGGGGAGTTACGAGTGTTTCAAAATACTCAAAGTACAATCCTTTCAGTATTATACAAGTATGCTGACATTTTTGTAAAGTACGACTGACCCCAGAAAGTAAAAACTGTTAAGATCAGTTATTCAGCTTTTCATTCTCCAGTATCTCTTCTACATTGTTAGAGAGATGATTTGATTTTGCTTCTGTAAATATATAAAATTCACAAACACAGCTGAATGTGCTTTATTTTTTTAATTCCACTTTCTCCTTTGAATATTCCAAAATATTCAAATTTAATGTGATGCCAAAAGTTGACTGGCCAGCTCTTTGAGTGCATACTTTCCCATAAATAGGCATGATTTAAATAGCTTTTAAATGCCTTTTAACTTTAGTTAAATGTACATTTCATTCTCCACACAGTATTTTCAAGGCTGAGAATAATAATTGTGAAAGACTTTCAGTGGCTCACTTTAAGACGACTTTCTGTCTCGACATGGATGGAAACCGCTGTCTCTGAGACAACTATATGCATTAACCCGGTATAAAATTAAAGTAAAATGCTTTAAGAACGCTGAACTACAATTTCCCTATTTTGCCTAGAACAGAATTACATAAAAATGTACAGAGTAGGGAACTAGGAACAAAAAACAGAAAATAAACAAAAAAACAAAGGTTATTTCTAATCACAGCTGAAATGAAAAACTATGCCATTTCACCTCTTCTGTTTTTATGCAAGACATTTTGTTTTGCAACTAAATTAAATAAACATTAATAACTGAGGGAAATCGTTACAATTGAGAAAAAGAAAAAAATATTTCAGCATTTACACATTGTTTACATTTATCCAAATATTTTATACAAGTTTTCCTCCAGATTTCCAAATACCATGGAATGCACCTCATCCCAGTCAACTCAACAATTTAGTACATTTACAGGTAAGAGTTCAATACTGAATATCGAAAACTTCAAGGTGACACACTTTTCGCATTGCATGCTGGTAAAATGACACCCCAGTAGAGAACGTTAGCGGCACGTGCATTTCGTCGCGATCATCTCCTCATACTCTTTGTAAGCGATCGAGCCGTCACTCTCAATGATTAAAACACTCAGTGGGCTGTACTCGGATGGTACACAGGAGGGCCTGGGCACTGAGGAGTCCAGCTGCTCATAAATAATGTTTTGCACCATCGTGTGCACAGGGGAACCATAGATTGAGCTCACAGCCCTGGGGCAAACGCCTTTGCAGTAGCGAGGGTTGTATTTGTGGGGCGCTATGATCCAGTGGTCCAGCCGGAGCTGACTGAAACTCACCCTGAAGTCATACAGGCTGCAATCATCAGTTGGGAATTCGTACCTCGGCATGTGCACAGTCAGCTGAGCTAGCGGGCCGTGTCGAGCCGCCTGTCTTTTCAATACGCGTCGTCTCCAACGTGCGGCCTTCATGACCGGCTCGGACACCTTTGTCGGTAACGGACTTGCCGAGGAACCCACAGGTGATTTAAAACTTTCTGACCCTGACAAAGACTGCCACCTCTGGAAGGCCACCATGCTCGTATCATTAAGGTACAAAAGGAGAGAAGGAGACCTGAGGGATAGTTCCCCAGGGCCTCTGTGCCCCTGGATGCTACCAGCTGCGTCTCTGTCTTCAGCACAGGTTAAATTGATCAGAAGATGGATTTCCTTCTTCTGGGACCTTATGAGAGGTAACAGGAAGGGGGTTACATCTACCTCCACCCATATGTGGCGGCCCCTTTTCTCGTTTCGCACTCGGAAGCTGGCGGAGTGGTGAATGCTGGAGCAGAGCTGCTGGCCGACTGGCTCCTGCTCTTTTACATCCAGATAGCAGACAGACCTCAGTGGTGTGGCCTGGTCCTTGTCAAAGGAGTACAGCAGGATAGATTTCAGCAGCTGTTCCTGAGCTCGAACCCTTGCTAAGTTGTAGGAAATATCTTGCATAAAAAACTCTGTAGAAGACAAAATGTGTCACAACATGTATACGGATTTAGCAATTTAACTTGTTTTTATCGCTCGCGTTAAATCAACACCCGACAGGGCCTATCGATCACGACTTTGTCTCATTTACTAAATTTAGACACAAGCACATGGGCACAGACCAGCCGATGGGTAACAAGCCATTAGTTACATTTAATAACAGTGGAAGCGGGTAGTCATTTACAGAGGATTTAGAAACAATTTCATACCTTGATTCTGCTCAAGACATTCATCGCGGGGTGTGATCAGCCTCACGGTGTTGTACAAATGGCTTGTGCCTCTCCCAGGATCTCGGCCCTGTTTCGAAGACATCTTATACAGTCTCTTCATGTAGCGCACGTATCTGGAGTCGGGTCTCAGTCTCGGAATGAGGTCTTCTCCGATGGAATGCTCTGACAAGGCTTTGAACTTTTGGGAAAGTATACTGCCGTAGTACGTGATGGGATCCGCAGCCTCAGCCGTGTTTGCGGCTCCGGCCGATCTGTCGGCTGAGCCGGATAATCCGGTGCCACAGACGCAGCAAAGCACGGCGAGCACTTTGATCAAAGTCTCCATCGAAATTATGTCCGTAAATGATTGAATAAACAAACAAACAAAACAAAAAACTTAACATACGACTCAAAGTTCAGCCTTCAAGAGCAACCAACACACGTCATTATAAAATCACAGGTGTATGCAATTAACTTAAGGTACGTCCGTCATGCCAATGATCGCCCTGCAGAGACAGACGCTATAAAGGCATTGCTTATTTGCTCGCTGGTCGGGTTTTAAAGTTAGCCTCACTTTGAAGACGACATGGAAGTTTCAAAGTATATTTGCAGAGAAACGCATCCACGAGTGTTTTTTCTTATCGGAAACTCGAAGTAGTGCTTTCACATGGCTGCCAACTTGGTTGGAGTGAGATGTTCGGTTCGAGACAAGTCTGCACACACATGCACACGCTTTTACATGTAGGCCTATGTAACAGTTTTATTACCTTGCAAATAGTCTGTAGGGTTTGAAAACCACCCCAACATTCTTGATGTAGCTAATTTTAGGTTTATGATGGAACAATATAGATTTGCCGTAAAATTGCTCGCGTGAGTCTGAAAGGGCGAGTGTCACGCCACATGCGTGAGTTGGCAACCTTGCTTTCATAATGGCTTTCCTTTGTTACGTTTCTGCATCTAAATCATTTAAACCTGCGATGTTACTACCAGGTGGTTTAATACCGAGAAGGAGCGTCGGACGTAAGCACTTAACTATGAAATTTAGTTTGTAATACCAATTCACACGAGTCCTCGTTTAAAAGAAGACGAAATATAAATCCATGTCAAATCCTGCTGATAAAATAGGGGGTAAGGAAAATGGTATGTTTAGGGGAAATGTAGCTGTAACGCCACGAAGTACGTTACCTTTCAAGCGGAACCAAAATTCTGCAATAAAAGTGAAACAAGTAAGAGATCAAATCCACATACAACGTCTTTGTGATATCAAAATAGTGAATAGTGACAGTGGTGAATAGACACTAGATGCTCGGCTTGCTAAACACCTGGGGGTCTATCATTTTAACTTGCAATGTGAATCACATGATCCATTATACAGTTCCAGAAATCGTAATTCTAATGTGGGAAACAATGTAGTGCCAACTATGGAAGAGTTAAGCCATATTTATATCCAATATTATAGATAAAGGTAATTCTGTAGGTTAAGCAAAGGTTGACACGAACAGGATCCTGTATTAACAGGGTGTGCATATTGTTGTATAAATGGAAGCACATTTTTTTTGGTATACAAATGACAGATTCAGCTGTCCAACATGCAGAAAGTGTTTGGTGCAGAGAGAGAGAGAGAGAGAGAGAGAGCGAGCGAGCGAGCGCACAAATTCAGAAATAGAAGTGCAATAAGAGCCATTTGAGGCAATTAAGGTTTTGAAATAAACAGACATCTTTATCTAAATTGACTATGGGACTTAAACCAACAACCTACTGATTGCAAATGTAGATTTTTAAGAACTGTAACCTGCTGCCATATAAAATGTTTTGTCAAGCAGTTAAATGTATGAACAACATTAATATTTAACTGACCCTGCATAGGACAAACAAGTATACAAATGGATGGATGAATATGAGAAAACTTGCTAATTTCTTTTAAACTGTTCACCTGGTTAACCACTAACAAGATTTAGTACTGAGAATATCCTAACAGCCTGTAGTACTTAAAAAAAAAAAACACAAATCACTACCTTGAAGCGGAGTTTAGACTGCAGGAAACATGTAGGCCTACATTGCCTTACCTAGTTCAAGAGCGGAGACTGTACGTTTGTAAGGCGTGGGCTGCCATCTTGTGGTTACAACTTGCTGTTTCTTCTGTTCGGTTGATTAAAACCGATGTGACGAAATCCTGAACTAACTAATGGAAAATATACATTTTGTCCCACCTTGAATATGACCATTTAACAGTACAGTACATAAAGTTAAGCGTGTTTGAAAAGTATAGGCCTATATACTAACTATTAACTAATAACGTCCATGAATAACGTGATGTAATGTATTACTGTAAGTAGGCTTCGCAGAAACTTGCCAAACTTCAGCTTGGGCTCCTGGGATAGAGGTGACGTTCAGGACGGCAGTCGTTTTAATGGCTTTTATGATGCAGTATATTCACACTCTGAAACCTTCATAATCATAGTAGTAGGCCTCTGTGTGACAGTGACACCCTAGTTGCCTCTTAATTGTAGTCCTAAATGGAAGAGCTTAATTAATTTTATTTGTTTGTTTCTTTGTTTTTACCTGTTTTCCGGAGTAACATTCATAACTTGTTCCATAAAACTAATGGGCGGAATCACTTTTATAATAATGTTTTATGTCATATTGCCTATATGTGGTAATCTGATCTAAATTAATTGCGCTGCCTACTGAACTCACTAGCCTCGTATAACCTTAACTCGTCTTTATGCTTCGGCTTTAAGGTCTTTAGCAGCAGGTACGGTACGCAGCTGCGGACTCACCGAAGTTTAAAGTTTCACCGCACATGAACTTGACGCCTCGTCCCTATTTGACGCTGGACTCCGCCTATTGTTTACCGGCGGTTGGTTATGCGGAGACCGGGTCGCTGCCGCCTGCTTTAGCTGCGGAGCCGGAGGCGCGCAGAAGACCGAGCTGCGGTGATAAAGGTAACGAAGATAGCCTCCGGTAAGCTCCAGTTAAACACACTGTTCGGGATCAGTCAGCTATATTTAAATTACACTGGATTTTTTTTCTTGTTTAATTCGGTTATTAGGATGGTATTAATAAAACGTTTAGTATTAATGTATTATGATGTCATGTAAAGATATATTTTGTTATGTATTCAAATATTAACCTACTCGTAGTATTAATGTAACTTAATGTCCACGTTCTCCTTAACCTATTAATGGGAGCCTATTATGAATTAAATGGTTTTCTTTGTCTTCGTGATAAGGATTCGTAGTTATTATTAAATTCTGAGTATAACATACTTATGTAATGCCACATCAAAAACATTTATTTCTATAATTATCAAAACTTCCGTTTTGTATCTGTAAGTAATTAGCATAATAAATTCATATCCATGAGCGATTTTGTGTAACATTTGAGAGACTTTTTGGTAAATATAACGTCTTATGTGGAGTTTTTTCCCCAATGTATTGTGGAAGTCTGAACAGATGGTGTGGTGTCATTGCTCATGTCATTTAGGCATGCCCCCTTTAAGACAACTGCAAATGCATTCCCCTTCGCGATTCAGATAAACATCAGCAAGATACATTTGTCTAGATTCCGATTATCTCACTACAATTGTGAAATTAGTTTAAAGCCGCTTAGTCGCTGTCCTTGAATAACGGAGTATGGCTGTATACAGGTTGTCTGATATATTCGCCTGAAACGTTAAAAACTGACTTCTCTAGTCAGAATTTTAAGCTAATCTTTGCTTGCCAGCCATGTCAATCTTTCTGTTATTATTCTTGTGTTAAACCTCAGTCTGTGTATATGTTAGTTGTATAGTTTCAGGTACGGATACATGCATTTCAGGAGTAGTACTTGCTTCTGATAACGAGGCAGGGACCCTGTGTGGTCTGTGTGGTCCCGGAAGTCTGTCTGAGGGGTGTGGTGTGTCACATTTCACTCTCTGATATTTAACAGAAGGAATTTGCGTTGGAGTCACAAGTACTGCGATATGGTGTGGTGCTGAAGGAAGAGTGTAACTGTAAAATTTGACTATCATCTTTAGCTGGTCACGGCCAGCTCTGACTATGATGTGGCCTGAGGATGAAGGTGTGCTTCCTGCCGTGGAGGCTACATCAGGCGTGTCAGATCCATCACGGTGCTGCCTGTGTTTGTTCTAGTGTGGCTGCATCGGAACCGTGGTTCTCAAACAAAACAGCCTGTCCCCTCTTCTGCAAACATACATTCCCAGTGCTGATCTGTTGTCCTTAGAATCTTCCCCTTAATGAGCCTCCCCCCATTAAACTGACTTGCAGTTGTTTAGCAGACTCTTTTATCCAAATTAATGTTCCACTGCGAAAGCAGAGCCGGCCTGCAGCCCCCGGGGCAACTGGCCTTAAGGGTCTCGCTCAAGGGCCCAGCAGTGGAACCACATTACCAACCACAGGACCACAGTCACCAGCACGGCATCTTAACCCACTGAGCTGCATTTCAGCCTCTCGGATTCCTTCCCTATTTATCTGAGGAAGTTTTTCTTTTTTTGAGCTTAACTTCGCTGGCATGATATCCAGATTGACTGCACCTAGTTAGCGTGACGCATTACATGCAGGGAGCCGTCCCAGAATTCCCTGGGAGTAAGAGTTGGGGGGGTGGGGGGGGGGGGTTGAAGAGGTCTTCATCTAGCTATTAAGCATCTTCCTTTTCAAATCACATCACGCACTGGCTCGCAGACCGCGACCTCGTGTCCGTAAAGTGTGCATACATCTTATTTATTCATAGAGATTATTCATTTCTGTCCTTCTGTCACCCACACACTCAGATAGACTGCAAGGCTGTGCTGATGACCTTCCGTCGTTGTGCGGCAAGGTGATCACTGAATCAGTTTTAGCTTTGCCTTTAAGCACATTAATCTGGCTTTAAAAGCCTCCATGTTGGGGTCATTCTGGGAGAAACAGTCACCCAGTTCACTGGATAGTACATTCCATAGACAGTAGGCTTCCTGGTCGTCTCTGTGTTTCGATGTGGGTGAAAGTATGTCTGTATTCTTTTCCCTTTACACAAAGATACACTTTGTCACAAACTGATGTTTCAAACTGGTGAAAATGCTCATTCATTAAATTCTGTGAAGTTAAATTAAATTTTCACATGGTGGTGGTGGTGGGGTTTGGGGTTTGCCATAAATGAATCAGTGCCACTTTGGTCCAGCATAAATCAGAGGCTGTGAGCTTCAGAAAATTGGAATTTATGGCAGAAACAGTTTTGTACCCGAGACAGACGCACGGAGATGCATCAGCTTGTGCAAGGAATACAAACTTGGACCCACGAGTACAAACTTGGACCCACATGCAAGATGTGATGAGCTGCCTTTCTTTGCCATTTTGTGTGTTTGGAGAAGCCCAAAGTCTGTTTTATAGGATAAAGTGCATCCTTTGATGTAACCCTGTTCCCTCATGGCGTTCCCAATATTCCAGCACCATTAGCCCAGAATGAATTTCCACACCTTTCTCCCTTAATGAATTGGAGGTTTTTTCTTCTTTATAAATATAATGTCCTGTCATACACAGTTCAGGACCTTTCTCGCAGCGTTCCAAGAAGGACTGAAGCTCTTCTGAAAGCTCAGCCTGGCCCTGGTCCTTGTCAGCTCCTGGACATGAAGGCCCGATTAGGTGTTTGCAGTATTTCCTCCAGCCCCTGTGTCTGTTAGCACGCCGGATTACTCGGCACCACATCCCGGATATTAAGAGTATTTCATGGTGCTCCGTTGGAATTCTGGGATTGACACTTTGAGCAGTTTCCTTCAGATGCTTCTGTCCTGCGCTGCTCCTTGAAATACCGGCAGTCCAGCAGCACTGGGGCCGTTTGTGCGCGACTCCACCTTCGCTGTGGAATGTGCGCCGACCTCGCCGTTATTCGCCGTGAAAGGACACCATTCGCCATTCCCCAGGGTCGGCGCCGCCACTCCATCTCCGGCCCGCACAAAGGCTTCCTTCTGCCCTTCAGCTTGGGCGTGGGGGAACAAACATGCCCCCCCCCCTCCTTTATCCAGTGTTTTAGTTCTTAGTACAATTGCAGTGAGATTAACGGTGACAAAAATGCTAATGCTGTGGGGCGAGAACGGGGCCGAGGGAACGCTGAGTGTCTTAAAGCACCTTCGCCTCCCCCATGTCCGTAAACACTGTGGGTACAGAGTGTCCCAGCCTGGGGTAGAAGCTCTGAGTCCATGTCAGCAGTTTGGCGTAAAACTACGATGGTATGTCTGATAAAGTTTGTCAGCTTTGCCATTTCATATTTGCAGCAACCACCCAATATGCCTGTGCGTTTGCTGACTCGGCCACTACCCCAGCCTGTTACTTAACAAATTAAGTGGATTAATGAATTGAGATGGTTTTCAATGGCTGAGGTGCCCCTGAGGAGAGGTTAGGGAACTGAAGAGGTCTTCATCTAGCTATTAAGCAAGATATTGGTGACTTTTCATAAAACAGAGGAATTTGTTGTTTATTTTTTATTATGTTATGTTAATTAGCATAAGTTCACTCTCTGTTAAATTGTGTTTTTTTTCTCAGCAAATATACACTTACTACTTGGATAAATAGCCTTAAACATTTGCCTTGACTGCCTAAGACTAAACATTGAGTTGCAGTTCTGTCTGTCACCTTTTTAAGACTTTATACTAGATTTTAAGAAAGCAGACAGTGACTGGGGTTGTGCTGCCTTAAGGGATTATCAAATCAAAATCAAATCAAATCACTTTTTTTGTCATGTCACTTGTCACCGGTAAACAGGTATGATATATGTGAGCGAAATGGTTGTTTGCAAAGCCTCTCGAAGCAGCCGTACTATGACACGATTTAACAATCAAAATAAAAGTATAATATATAAAACATAAAACATTTGACCAATCTATGTATGTATAAAAGTGTATGTAGTTATGCAATAAGAATGTACAATTATCTGTCCTGTATAGACGCTTTTGTAGATATGGATAGCAGGAAGGAGTGAAGCTGAGCACAGTGCTGTGTGTCTCTGAAGCTGAGCACAGTGCTGTGTGTCTCTGGATAGCAGGAAGGAGAGTGAAGCTGAACACAGTGCTGTGTGTCTCTGAAGCTGAGCAGAGTGCTGTGTGTCTCTGGATAGCAGGAAGAAGTGAAGCTGAGCACAGTGCTGTGTGTCTCTGAAGCTGAGCACAGTGCTGCGTGTCTCTGGATAGCAGGAAGGAGAGTGAAGCTGAGCACAGTGCGGTGTGTCTCTGAAGCTGAGCAGAGTGCTGTGTATCTCTGGATAGCAGGAAGGAGAGTGAAGCTGAGCACAGTGCTGTGTGTCTCTGGGTCCTGCTCCCTTTACGTCTGTGCCTTGCTGTTGTGTGCTGTGCTGATGGAAGGTTCAGCTTAAATGGGTGCAGTCAGACCGGCTGTAAACAGCAGCCCCGGATTTGCAGTGCTGGGGTTGACACTGTACACACAAGTCGCCTGTCTTGGAAGCAGGTGCCTGGCGAGTCACATGTTAACAGCCCTTGACATTACCGAGGGTCATTATACGGAGGATGCAGACTGGCACGTCACAAGATCAGCGGCCACGTGTTTTCACCATCAGTGACAGGCAGTTTGACTTCTCACTCCACCTAGAGGCCAGAAGGTGTATGTACCTCAAGTCCTGAGCAATATGGCATGTAAAATTATTTTTAAAACGAAAAATTGCGTCTGATTTATTCAGTGGAACAAAGGACCTGTAGCTTCTGACCCTAAAACATAAACCGTAACCATATAACTGTAACCACGAACCAGCAGTTTGTTGCGGTGTTAGTTAACAGTGAATCAGCGTGGATTCTCAGACCGTCAGAGTTACGCGTTCATGCAGCATGTGGAGGGCTGGCCTCCCCAGGGCTGTGGGAGGCCAAAAATAGCTCCTCTTTCTTGTTGTGTCCAGAGCCCTGCACATCTAAAGCACTGCACATCTAAAGCACTGCACATCTAAAGCACTGCTGAAAAGGGTCACATGACCAGGTATACAGAGTTTATAAAGTACATAGTAAAAAGGTTGTGTTTCTTAAGAAATGTTTAATCCTTTAACGAGTTTTCCCATTTTTTTCGGTAATGATTGTAACGAGCAGGGATTTCAGGGGAGATGAGCGTTGCCCACAGCTGAGCGTCTCAGGGTTTGTACTGTGAGAGAACCATGGCTACCAAACCAGGAGGGGGGCTGTTTGGCAAGGCTGAGCGGAGCGGGCCCCCATGCGGGGGACGGAGGCTGCCCCATCAGCAGCGGGCGTGGGCTGAATGCCCCCCTGTCTGGCTTCCTTTGATGCTCGCCAGGGATCCGAGGTCTTTTTGTCTGGACGCCATTATCAGCAGAGAAATATGTCGGTTCCCTCTGCGGACGCCTGGGATGGGGCCGAGGGCTCCTGACAAGAATGTCATAGGAGGCTTTCTGTGGCCACTGTGTGCTAAGAAGGGGAGAGTTTATTCTGATAGAAGTGAGGATTTAACAGAGGCCATGTACTTCAGTGTGCATAAAAGTACGTAATAACCGTAGGATGTGACCACAGATAATGGAGATAGTGTATACTGAGCTCCCTATCAGGGGCTTGGCTTACTGTGACGTATTTAAAATATGCAGCTTTTGTGTTTTGGCAATTTGCTAATGAGGCAACGAAGACGTTCTTGTGTCAGATCGGCAGGCTGGTTCTCTCCGTGTCCATGGTAACGCTTCACCCTTTAAAGTGATTAGGACGATACTGGTCTGTTGGGTTGCCTGCCAGTGTGCACTGGAATGAAGAAGGCGTGCAGAGTTTGCTTTGCAAACAAGTGGCTAATAGAGATGTATTTATACAACCAGCACTTTAACCTGTATGTCAGATCAGTATTACTACTAATAATAATTCTGATAAAGATCACACATCTTAGTGTGTAAAGCACAAATAAATATCAAACAAATATTCTTCAGCTGGTATTTCTGTTACCTGGAAACGTAATGGCAGCCGTGAGCACATCAGCGACGGAGCCTCTCTGCGAGGCGGCTCCCTCCTCACTGCAGGCCTGTCGCAGTCACTGGCGTCCCAGCATGTCATTGCTGCTCAGTGGGCCTCCGCTTTGTCTCCATGGAGCTTCTCAGGAGACTCCCTGGAATCTAACGGTACTGGGCGGTGGTAACAGCCCTGTGTTCTGGTCAGGGCTGACCCAGCCCCTTTCAGGGCCCTACCAACAACTTGATGAACTGAGGATGAACGAGTACATTCAATGGATGGATGGATGATGGATGAATAGTTGTCATTTGTCGTCATCCTTTCCATTCTGACAGGCTGATCCGACGGGGGGGGGGGGGGCTTAGTTTGCTTATGCCAGGGGTAGTCAGTCTTATCCACAAAAGGCCGGTGTGTATGCAGATGTTAGGGGTGACTTTTAGGTCAGCTGTTCAAACCCAGGTGTGAGGATTCTTCAGGCCAATCAGTCCTATAATTAGCAAGCTAAGTAGGGAGTTACGGCGAAAACCTGCACACATGCGGCCCTTTCTGGATAAGACTGGCCAGCTCTGCCTAACCCCTTGTACTGGCCCTGACTGTGGTACATTTTGGGTCGGTGTTGTGTGTGCCTTAGCGTGACTCTTTATACGGGATCAGCTCCTCCCTGCCCTTGTAGATACCCGTGCCCCAGTCCACCAGCAGCCGGCTCCTGGCCATAAACCTTCTGGGTCTGGCATTCTTCCGGACAGCTCTTCAATTTATCCAGAAATGCAATATATAAGACACTCTGAACCAATCAGGAATTACAGAATTATGTTTTGTGGAGTAAATAATCAAATTACGAAAAGTTAAAATTCTAAGTTGTGTTGTGTCGTCTGTAAAGGAGCGACGTGCAGCTGCACCAGGAAGCACAGCGCACTGGGAGCTCAACACAAACTGGGAGCTCAACACAAACACACTATTGCTAGTCAACACAGCCCTGCAGAGGCAACAACATCAAGATTAACTATCCTTGCTATTCCATCACATGCAGATCATATCACTGAAATATACCTTTTAAGGTTTTTTACACTGCATATAAATATGCAGCTTTTTTCCTCTTTTTACAGGGAAACAAAAGCATGCTGACTGGATGGGCTGGTACATTTTTCATAAGAAAACATCACAGTAAGTTTAAACAAATAGCCCACGACTAATAATCTATGATTTCCCCCTCAGGTCTTGATGGCATGATGAGAGTGACTCTGATGAAAAGGAAAAGACGTCTCTTGAAGGCGTGAGACTCCAGGTTTCCCCGTTCATCTTAGCTAGCAGTACTTCCAGCTTTAATGGATTCCTGCAAGTTCAGCCCAGAAGACGTGAGTCGCCCATTAAGCTGCCCTGTTGGGAGACTCGGCCCCGCTAAATCCACCAGCAGCATTGACCAGTTTGTGAGTCACCGTGGTAACGGGGACTCTGCGTATAGCTCTTTCTCTGGGGGCTCGAGCGCCCCCGAATATGGGCCACTTCACCTTGCTGATGAGCTTGGCTATGAGGGCTTCCTGGCATCAGACTTTAAGAGCGCCGTGGACGACCCGTGCTCGGTCCCCAGCTCCCCCTCCAGAAGCGTGGTGCACTGGTACCGCACAGCCGAAAATGCCCCAGAACCCAGAGTTCCGCACACTTTGGCTTGGAAGAATTGCAGCTGGGAGCCCCCCCCAGCTCCCCCGGCACGGCTGGACAGCTTTATAGCAGTTAGGCATCTGGAAAACTCTGGAGGCAGTTGGAGCCCTAGGGACCAGTCGGCACGGCCCAGAACAGAATTGGTCCGCAACCTTAGAACTTCACAGGCTAATCCAAGAAACCCAGTGGAGTATCAGAGCTTTACCGAGGGACTCCAATGTGGGAACCATCGTTACAAGGCTCAGAACCTCAACAGCCTTGTCCAGCACAGAGAGAGCAATAAGGTTAAGCCTCCTGAGATCACTGGCGAAAATACCCATCTTGCTTGTCTGGACTGGCGAAGTCAGCTTAACATGGATGATCCAGACTATGTTCAGCAGCAGTGCCAAGGTGACCAAAGCCTATCTTCAAACAGGAGAGATGAAGAGGACCTCCATACAAGCCCATATGGTTCTCCGTGCTCCTCATACCTGTCCAGGGTCGTCCAGCAGAAAATGGAGCACAAAGAAAAGCATCACGGCACTTTTAGGCATCACAACAGCTGCCAACTCATCTTCTACTCTGGCCCAGAAAAAGGCGTCCCTGCCTTCAAGCCTGACAAAAAGGAGAGGGCTTTTTCTCTCCAGGGACTGGACCATGCTGACAGGAGTGCAGGGACAGAGATGACGCAGCCTGTAGCGAACTTGGCTCTCGATGAGATCGACAAGGCGACTATGCCACTGTTGTTTCACCTGGCAGGAGAGAGCAGGGGCACATTAGTAAGGAAATCAAAAGGTGAGATTGAGACTAATGTTATCCTCAAGGAATTAAGACTGGAGAGCAGCCCCAAGGGGCAACTGGGAACCAAAGCCTCTGATTCTTCTTCAGACTATGGCTCCAGCAGTGGTGGCACCCGCCAGCTGGAGGTGGCCGTCCAGGTTGGGGGTGGCAGCGGCGCTTCTGCTCTCAGCTCGCCGAACGGTTCACCCAGGATGACCTCCTGCGACGGCGTGAGAGACACGCAGCCTGTGGTCCTAATGGAAACTACCTCCAAGAGGACGGATCTGCACACCACCCCCGTTCCGTTCAAGGTCACACCGGTCCCTGGACACACGACCTCTATTCAATTTGCTTCCAAGGTTTCCTCTGAGAATCCCGAGAGTTTAGAATCAGGCATCTGGGGAAAGCAGAATTTCGCTCAGCTTCAGGTAGCACGAGCTGGACTTCTGAAGATGCTGAGCCCAGAGCAGAGGAACCTGTGCTATTCTGATCCAGACAGTTTGAATCACATGGGAGATGAACCTGCTTACAGAGGGTGCCGCTCAGTGGATGACCAGCTGGTGGAGCCAGTGAGCAAAGACAAACTGAGCGGACAGGGTCTGGTAGCAGCTAGACGGAAGGTCTTTGAAACCAAAGGCCGTGCCCTGTCAGCTTTCTGCTTCTCCAAAAGCGCACTGAAGCACATCCAGCGCGAGGCCCTGCAGGCGTACATGGAGTGTAAGGCAGGCCGCCAAGGCACAGGAGCCCAACCTCCTGATCGCAGACACTCCATGGCTGGGAAGGTGGCGGAGTTTGGCCAAAGGTCACTTTGCAGAAATGCAGAACTCGGGAAGGAGGAGGGCAGGCCCCTTTCTGCAGGCCGCCTGCTGGACCCCCCAGCCGGCTGCGTCACCTGCGCAGACCTGGGGTCTCTCTCCTACTGTGAGCAAGGACACTTTAATGAGAAAGTGATCCCAGCTACCGAGAGATCGTCTTCTACGGATAACCTCTGTCGATTGCGTTCCACTCCAACTCCATATGCCCTGCAGGTATGTGTCACGCTCCGTTATTGTGTCTGTCTATCTGCAACCACCCCACCGGATGAGTAAATAGTCAGAAATGTTTATAGCTAAATAGCCGTAACACTGGAGGTGCCTGCATCTAAGCGAGGAGTGGGGAGCATATTCAGTGAAACAGGTGTGTATCAACACAGATATCATTTTGCCTTTTAAAATTAGGTTTTATCAGTTTGCATTAAGTAATTTGTAAGTAGCTTTTTGCCATTAAAAGGGGGGCTTCCCAGATTTAGCCATCCATGTTGCTAATGAGCTAAAGTTTAAACAGTACATTTTGCTTCTTGGTTAAGTCAGTCTCAGAGCTAATGTACCGAATTTGAGATCTTTTGTTTTTGACTTTCTCTTCTCACACATTGGGATGTGCTTTTGTTGTGGCAAGTAACACTAAATAATTTGTGTTTGTCACTAGACCACGATCCGCTCCAATGAATCTTTACCATTGAATAACCTGACACTGAGGTGAGTGACTGGAATATCTCAGTGGTGTGTCAGAAAACACAAACAAATTGATGAGCGTCCGAAACACGCACTGACGAGCTGACCTTTCTGTTGAGGAGGGAAAGGTGACGCCCGTGGCTGACTGCCGTGTGCAGCCACACCTGGGGGTGTCTCAGACACCTGAAAGTTGACAGTAGTCTTAGTCCCTGCATTCCTCACACATTCTGTCATAATCCTCATGTGTTATAGGTTATCTACAGTGCACTTCCTGTAGGTCATTCCGTATCAGTCATAAACATTTAAATGTGCTCTACACCAGGCTGACCATGGAAAGCAGACTCCAGCAATCGCGCTTGGTATTATACATTAATATAATCATGTATGTGGTCTACACCAGGCTGACCATGCACAGCAG